GTAGAAACACGAATGGGACAAAGCTACCCAAGCAATCGACTTTTGTACAAAGTCTCCCTCTGGTGGATTTTAAGTTAGATCTTTATATTATTTATTTATTTTTATTTAAATAACTTTAACTTTTGACTTAACTACTAATTAAATTAATAACTTTTGACCAAAATAAAATAAGGTACAAGAGGCGAATTTAATGCTAGTAGCATTCTCTACCAGTCAACCTTTGGGATGAACAGTGAATCACGAACGCGGTACTTCAGATTTACTCCTACATTTACTTATGTTTACATCTTAGATTTTTAGTTAGACACAACTGTGAAAACCACATCCAATTTGATTCAGGAATTTTTACGTAATAATGGAACAAACATTTTTTTTAATATTGTTTTGGCATCTATCGGTCCTATTATTTTTCTTAAATATCTCCCATGTACAGACGGTATGTACAATTTTATTAGATTGTCTGTTTGCATCTACAAAGACTTCGAGTATTGTCAAGTTCGAGTATATGTATGTATATAAAAAAATAATGCCTTGAAATATCTTTATTATAACAAATTATGATCACAAGCATTTTTATACCTGTGTCTAGGATGTTACCTATAAACGTCATCCGTTCTCTAGTATGACGAATGAGTCGGCCAATAAAATATAAATTCCATCCTTAAAATCTTTTTTCACTAATCAAGGTTTTTTAAATATGTAGTTCTAAATGTCCCTATATATATTTTTAATGTTATATCACTGGTAAAAGTACCTACTTCAGCCGTAAGCAATTTTTTTTTTTAAATTTCAATGTTCTTTTAAATTTATTTATTTATTTATTTTTAAAAGACACACCAACAATATGCTCACTACAATTAAGCAGACAATGTACAATGTTATTAGTAAGTAAAAAGTGAAAAACTACTATTAAAAATGCTTAAATCTAAGTTTACTTGAACGAAAACATCTCACTCCTCACTACCAAGCTTATATGAACACATTAAATATAATTTATTTATTTATTTATTTATTTACGTCAACAAACAGTAAACATAATAACAATATATATACATATGTATCTAAATATCAATAATAATTCTACAATATATATTAAGAATCTTAAGAATCTTCGAATCTGTCCTGAATCGTGTTATCGAAAATAATCAAGAGCTTACTCCAACTTCGTAAGATAGTAGAGTTCACATGGTAATATGGAAAGTTAGTAAATCTCTTAGATTGCGTTCGTTCATGCTGAAATGATAACTAAAGTTAGACACGGTTTCGCGAGATCAATACTGGAGATATGGGATTTTGGGGAAAAAGTTGGCCTACATCGAGTACCTACCGGTAATGGCGTCGCCCACTCGTCTGTACATTTCAGAGGGTAGCTCACACAATAAATATTGATGTTTTTTTTAATGAGTGATAATGGAATGGTAACCCCACCCGCGCTATCGGTATACACCGGCGGGGCACCAGTGAAGGATGATAGGTGAGGATGAAGCTGATCAGTTAGCCCATCGTGACGAATTCAACAAGAATTGTTCACGATGGTTTCCAGTGGGAACCACGTGGAGGTCTACCTAATAGGGCTATATTAATATTGCTAGCAATGGGGCTGTCAAATTCCATTGCTAACAATCCCTTTACCCTTATAATAAACTGTTTATAAGGATGCATGTTTAATATAATTTCGCTCGATTTACTTGGAAATTGCTTTGTTAAAAAAAAATACGTCGACAAAATTAAATGCTTGCGATTCTCGAGTTAATAACGGAGAATGGAAATAGCTGATGGTTTTATTTCTTTTTAAACGCCACCGGAAAGAGGATAATTTTGCGTTTAATAAATTATTTTCCAATTTAATATGATGTGCATGTATTTCTTGAGAAATATATATTTATAGGAAATACATTTTTCAAACACAAATTGTATATTGCATAATATTGTTACAAATAAATATTAACGGACCAAAAAGTACGAAATAAAAATTTTCTTTATTCATACTCTGGTGCATATATAGCTACTAATAATTTATTACCAGAGGGAGACTCTGTACAAAAGTCGTTTGCTTAGGTACTTCTGTCCCATTCGTGTTTCAACCGTGAAGCAGTTGTGTTTGCATGGCTGTGTTTCGGTTTGAAGGGTGGGATATGGCGTGAATTTACATGGTACAGAGGAATAACACCTGAGTCCTCAGGAATGGCAACGCATGGCGGGTATCATGGGCGAAACAGTATACTCTGTTATGTCCATGGTACTGCTCATGTCTATAGTCGACGGTTACCACTTTTCATCAGGTGGGCCGTCAGCTTGTTGCCATTCTAAGTTTCATAAAAAAAATCCAAATAGGTTAATAAATGATTGAGTTTAAAGGTAACAAATGTAAAAAACAACCAAATTGAGAATGTCTTCCTTTTTTGAAGTCGCTTGAAAATTTCTAGCACTTAAATAACGCACTTGGCCTACAGAAACCCCTTTTTGGTACTAAATTATTATGAAGGTAGAGGCTGTGAGAAGTTCATCACAGTGGGTATAACGCGTAAGTGGTTACATAATGTAAAATGTTACAAAAAGCCCACTGTTGTCGACACCTGCGCGATACGCTTAAACTGTCGTGTGTAATTTCACTGTATTCAAAAATCTATTTCGTAACTTTTGAACCGAAAAAGATAATGGATTGTCTCATAAATGCAAAAATTGTGATTTATAATTTGGTATCTATTTATTTATTTTAAAAGGTACATCAACAATGTAATTTTTTTTATACAACTTAAAATGGCTAACAAGCTGACGGCCCACCTGATGGAAAGTGGTAACCGTCGCCTATACCCCCCATGCATTGCCATTCCTGAGGACTCAGGTGTTATTCCTCTATACCCAGTAAATTCATTGCCATATCCCACCCTTCAAACCGAAACACAGCCATGCAAACACAACTGCTTCACGGTTGAAACACAAATGGGACAGAGGTACCTAAGCAATCGATTTTTGTACAAAGTCTCCCTCTGGTAGACAATACAGATATTGATTTTAATTGATATCAATTTTTTTTTTGGTTTTTGGTGTAAATGCAATGTCTTGCATTTACATAAATTACAGATGCACACAACATTTTCTCAAGACATCGATTTCACATTAATAAAATTGACACTGACAAAACAAAAAACAAATTATGATATACAAGTGAGAATATAAGGATGCTAAAGTAGAATTATTAAAACAATTATCACAAGTGTCAGACGAAAATATTTCATTATAAATTTACAACAAATTTTTCGATTATAAAAACAATATTGACCTTATTAATCCGAGAGATGGCGGTGCGTTCGCCTGCTATTACATTTAGTTCAATGTGCTGAAGTAACTATGGGAAAGGCAAGTGTTGCGTTTACTGTAATTTCAACGGTCGTCAAAATTATCTCCGATAATTTTTAGTTCCTTCGTATGTAATTCACGCATACAATAATATACATATTCTCAAAGTGGAATCAAAATTCGTAGTGAAAAATCATATAATTTTCCTGACATACCTCTCTAAATATACTTAAAATTATTTCCTCTAAAACTCTATTAAATTTGTAATTTATACATCTACTTTTTTTTTTCGCAACTTCGTATATGTAAATTTAGCCGATAAGTAATTATTTCTGTGTAGCATATAACATATACACCAGGTTTTAGCTCATCATCATTTCAGCCATTATTCGTCCACTGCTGGATGTAGGCCTCCCCCATAGACTGCCATAAGGAACGATTCTAAGCCACCTGTATCCACTGACTCCCTGCAATGCATTTGAGGTCGTCACTGCATCTAATGGGGGGTCGTTCTACACTGCGTTTGTCCCTACAGGATCGGCACTCAGTTTATGAGTTAGATCATTAGAAATATAAATCAAAACGTAAAAACTGTATTCAGTTTGGTGCAATACATACAAACAGATGGGCATACAAAGTTTCTAAAAAAAAAATATTATTTTGGCTTCCATAACTCCTATTAAAATCCCTTACATCAAATTTTTTAAATATTCCCATGCATAAAAATTGACTAGTTACAATTTTATTATGTTATAAGAAATAAATAAATATTTAATATATTATAACATAGTAAAATTATACAGCGCATCTTAACTCAGCTTTTAAGTTCAAAAATAAGCACCCGGTAGGTAGTTCCGCGCGCTAAAACTCTTGAAACATTCAGATAGTATAAAACTGTGGAAGTGACGTCATAACATAGCACCTAAGTAAAACATGGCCATTTTGTCACTAAAAAATTTATAATTTTTTGTCCCAGTAATACCTTTTTAAAATACATAAATATGATATATACTGTAGACACGTTATCCGTGTGTTGATAATATGTCTTGTAAATAGGTAATTAATATACAAGGGGAAAAAAAATTGTCAATAAAGGGATCTAAAAACTCCATTGCATATATTTATATTTTACCAGAGGGAGACTTTGTACAAAAGTCGATTGCTTGGATACCTCTGTCCCATTCGTGTTTCAACCGTGAAGCAGTTGTGTTTGCATAGCTGTGTTTCGGTTTAAAGGGTGGGATATGGCGTGAATTTACTGAGTACAGAGGAATAACATCCGAGTCTTCAGGAATGGCAACACATGGGGGGTATCATGGGCGAAACAGTATACTCTGTTATGTCCATGGTACTGCTTATGTCTATAGGCGTCGGTTCCACTTTCCATCAGGTGGGCCGTCAGCTTGTTTGCCATTCTAAGTTGTATAAAAAAAATATAGCAATATACTAATGAAAGGGATTGTTAGTAATGGGGTCAAATAGCCCCATTACTAGCAATATACACTGTCAGGTCTGATAGAACTGCACAATCACACTAAATGACTGGTCCTTAAACTAAAATTTAGAAAAATTCATTTCTTAAATTGGCACGATGGAGAATCGAACCCGGGATCTGACTACGCAAAGCAATTTAATGAGGTCGCATCATTTTCCATGATTTTTTTTATTATAATTGACTTAATAATGTATCCTTGTTACAGGATGAACCCGCATCATCAGGTGACAGCGGTGACGAGAGCGGCAGCGAACCGGAGTCGCCCAGTGAGAAACTTCTCCACGCACAGAGCCTCAAACAGGAATGGACCCACACTGAGACGAGCGAAAGAGAAGGCAGTAAAAGGTATTTCGAAGTTTTTCTTTATTTCTCTTTTATTTTGTACAATTAAAACAACCACCATATTATTATTTTGCAGTCAAAACTCTTAACCAGTCAAAAGTACTGTTGACAAATAAAATCAGTCAAAAGTACTTGTCACTGAACAGCAGGTTGGTTAAAAGTGTTTTAACAACAATGTCCTTCTTAAAATATCTTCAAAACCCAACTGCGGTTGCCAACCCGCCTGGCAAGCATGGCAACTACTGGCAAAACCCCCCTTATGTAGGAGGCCTTTTTTCAGCAGTGGATATTTATCGGCTAATACGATGATGAATTGAGTTTTTACTGTACACATCCTTCACCCCTTCAGTAGTTAAGATATGTCAATTGTTCCCGTTAGTTCCAGAGATCATTTGAACGAGCCGCTACCATCAACGTCATCGGCCACCCAAGAAGCGGACAGCAGTAAATCTAGCCAGTCCTCTTTGCCAAAACTCTTGCCCAAAATCGACCTTCCGGGAGGTGCAATGTTGTACCATAGTGGTGTTCTAGCCGGTTTAGATTCACTCGGTACCAATATCGGTTTGGGCAATCTAACAATGGGTTATCCTCACAGCTTTATATTGGGGCTTGCCAATCAAGGACAAGAAGGCGGTAAGTTTCTTTTTATAGTACTTAGGAATAACAAGGTGGACGGCTCACCTAATGAACTGTGACAACTGTTGCCTATGTTTTTTTTTTATACTACATAGAATGACAAACAAGCTGACGGCCCATCTGATGGAAAGTGGTAACCGTCGCCTATAGGCATGAGCAGTACCATGGACATAACAAAGTATACTGTTTCGATATTACCATGATACCTCCCATGCGTTGCCATTTCTGAAGACGCAGATGTTATTCTTTTGTACCCTGTAAATTCATTGCCATAACTCACCCTTCAAACCGAAACATAGCCATGCAAACTCAACTGCTTTGTGGTAAAAACACGAATGGGACAAAGGTGCCCAAGCAAACGACTTTTGTATAAAGTCTCCTTCTGCTAACATGGATATCACAGAATATACTATTATGCCAATAGTATCCTTCGTTGCCGTGTGGCCCTGGCATAGAATGAGCCACCTTTCTTTTCTCGCAGATGTCGTAAGAGGCAACTAAAGGATTTTTTTTTCAATCGGAAAGTCCTATATTTATTTAGTAAAGATTGGTATCAGTTTTTATCACTTACCCTCCTTATTCATAAAAATTAAAACGTTCTGCAAATCTACTTTAATTATTAGAATGTTTTATCACTGTCTGTCAAATTGAGTAAATAACGCAGAAGAAAGGGACAAAATTTTCTATAGCTAAGATAGGTTTATAAGAGGTATGACATTTTTATGAATCTCTAAATGTTTGATCATCGTTACACCTTTGTGAAAGTACGTAATCTATTAATGTTTCCGTAATTGTAGCGTCATCATCAACCCAGCCCCAGTTCATCACCATCCCGCTGTCGATGGCAATGGCGGCAGCGGCGAACCCAGCATCCAGTACCAATGGAGGGCCAGTTAGTGCCTCTAGTGACGACAGCAGCGAGCTACAAGACCTTAGCACAGGGAGGAAGTGACCGGAACAGAATGGTGAGTGAGCAAATACAGATTTTTATTCATGAAACTCTCGTGTGGTCCTGGAATAGAATATGCCCATCCCTTTCTTTCCCGTGGGTGTCATAAGAAGCAACTAAGAAAGGACGAGGGATGGGCAGCAGCGTCCCTCTTAAAACATCTCCAAAGCCGAACTACGGTTGCCAATATGCCTGTCAAGCGTGGCAACTACTGGCAAAGCCCTCTAGGGGAAGACTTATGTTCAGCAGTGAACAGTTAAAGGTTGATATGATAATGATGATGAGGATGGTGATGATGATATATGAAACATAAAGCCTCCCATAATAATATGGCGCGTCCTGCAGGAAACTTTGTATAAAACGCTCCTAATTTATTATTTTTCAAAAATGTTTCCTAAGTTGAAAATCACTATCTTATCATCTCCATATGTTATGCTTTATATACAAATCCTATATACACTTTCTTCTTTTGGATTCTCAAGGTTGACTAAGAGAAATCCCTTTAAATCTTGGCATAAAATGGGTCGACCCTTCCTTTCCATACCCTTACAGGTCGACCTCCTCGCCATGAAAACCATCGTAATTGATTCATTAGTCAATTTATCACGATAGGCTAACTGGCCTGCTTCATTTTCACCTATTACCCGTCACTGGTGCTCCGCCAGTGTATACCGATAGCGCAGGGAGGGTTACCATTCTATTATCATCCATTAAAAAAAACCTTCCTTTTCCGTGGGTGTCATAAGAGGGGACTTAGGGAACTTAATGGTCGACAGATAGACAGTAGTGTCATTCTTGAAACATCACCAAAGCCTATATGCGGTTGCCAACCCGCCTGCCTAGCGTGGCGATTTTTTTTTTATACAATTAGAATGGCAAACAAGCTAACGGTCCACCTGATCAAAAGTGGTAACCGTCGCCTATAGACATGAGCAGTACCATGGACATAACAGAGTATACTGTTTCGCCCATGATACCCCCCATGCGTTGCCATTCCTGAGGACTCAGGTGTTATTCCTGTGTACCCAGTAAATTCACGCTATATCTCACCCTTCAAACCGAAACACAGCCATGCAAACACAACTGCTTCACGGTTGAAATGGCAAAGCTTCCCTTATGGGAGAGACCTATGTCCAGCAGTGGACAGTCAACAGCTGATATGAAATGTTATAATACTAAATGCAGTTTATTTATATATATATATATATATATATGTATATATATATATATATATATATATATATATATATATATATATATATATATATATATATATTTTATATTGTAAATTTTTAATGAAAAGTTTCGCGACTGACTCTTGGCCACAGCAGAATATCAGTGTTTTGCTCTTTTAAGGGCAAAGCAATAAACTGAGCTGTGACCATTTTGTGTTACTATGGCACACGCATGAATGAATGGTAACAAGGGAGATTGTTAGATTATGTATTTTGTTTTTGTATTTTTTTTTTATTTGTGTTTTTTTTTTTTATTTTTATTCTTTTGTCTCTTTTGATGTGTATTACGTGTATGTTTTTTTTTATTGTAATTTGTGTGCTGTAAGTAATGTAAATAAATTGTCTATCTATCTATCTATCTAATATTATTTATTTTATTGTTACAGATAAAAACAATGCCAAGAATGGATAAGATCTTTGTATTTTTTTAAAACTAAGTTACTATGAATATCGCTTACCAAAGTTTTGTATTTGGATATATAAATTGTATATGCAAACGACAATTATATAGTTACTATATATCATATACTCTGTAACATAATTCTTTATTGCAAAATACATTGTTTTATTGTAAAAAAACACGTAAGTACACATTAAATTCTAATATGACAACTACTGGTTTAACTTTGGACACGTGACAGCCGCTCACGATTAAGGCTCCTGAATGGTCCTGAAACTAGTTGAGCTTGAACAAATTACATCTAAGTTGAACCGGTAGTTATTACATTAAAATTTTGATTATGTTATAATAAAATTACTCAAAATTTTCAGAATTGTCATACAAATTAGATTTGTAACCAATTAAATAATTAATAAATGACATTACACTCAAATAATGTTACTCTTGGAAAGGTTTAACTCAGTATACATTTTTGAATATTTCTTTTGTTTATATCCATCATTAAAATAAATATACGATAGAACTTATCTTGAAGAGGATGCACTAAAAATGGTGATAGGTGCTACTCAAATATGGTGCTCCTATAAATGATAGTAAAACTAAACAAAATCAAACTTACCTAGTAACTACTAGCTCAGTTACTGGCACAATGACTGTATATTTTCAATGAACCTAAATTGTAGAAATAAGTGGCAATATAAAGCAAAGTTTTCTTAGCAGAAATGTAAAAAATGTATGGATTTGACAAAATGATGTATGAGTTATGTCAGTTCCATACATCTAATTTTTTTTCATAACAACATGGCTCACAGAATTATAGCAAAAAAGTGAGAAATGTATGGATTTGACAAATTGATGTGGGACTTATATCTTTTCCATACATCTTGTTTTTTTTTAATAACAACATTGCTAACAGAATAATTAGCAAAAAAATTTAAAATGTATGAATATGACAAATTGATGTATGACGTATGTCAATTCCATACATCTTGTTTATTTTTCATAGCAACATTGCTAACAGAATTTTACTTTGTATATAAGCTCATAACGGATTAATATGATAGTTTCTGTTCGTTTTTTTTTTCTTTTTTTAATTTAAATTAATGAATGTAAGTACATTTCATTTCGTAACTAATCATTAATCAGTGTAGTAAACTTTTTAAATTAGATTAATACTTGTAAAGCTTGAAATTGTTATTTATTATCGAATGTAAAGTATGACGTCTGAAGTTAAAATACATAACAAATGCGACAAATGGCGAGATGATTTAAGAATATTTTGAACAAACAGATTTTAACTATCTGTTAAAATATACTCAATACCTAACGTGTGTAAAATTTTTGTACTATTAAAAAATAGACATAAAACATGTATAGAGAAAATTTTATCAACATTAATAATATTAAGGATCGTGTTGCGTTCAAAAATATGGCTAATAATAAAATTATGAATAAACGATGTCTATAATATTGGACGTATTTAAAAAAAATGCCATAAAGGGTCTTAAAAGCAATACAAGCCAAAACAATTTTTTTTTATACAACCTAGAATAGAATAGAATAAAATAGAAAATCATTTATTCAAATAAACTTACATTGAAGCACTTTTGAATAGTCATTAAATTTTTTTAATCTACCGCTCGTTCGGAAAGCTGTCTCATCACAAGAAGAACGAGCAAGAAACTTGCGTGTTGCTCTTTTAAATAATTTTATTATTACTTTACATTTCGTTATACATGCGCGTTCACCGCAAAAAAGACACCGTTTGTCGTATCTCCTCACTTTCAGGGCACTTCTGTTCGTTTTTTTTTCTTTTTTTAATTTAAATTAATGAATGTAAGTACATTTCATTTCGTAACTAATCATTAATCAGTGTAGTAAACTTTTTAAATTAGATTAATACTTGTAAAGCTTGAAATTGTTATTTATTATCGAATGTAAAGTATGACGTCTGAAGTTAAAATACATAACAAATGCGACAAATGGCGAGATGATTTAAGAATATTTTGAACAAACAGATTTTAACTATCTGTTAAAATATACTCAATACCTAACGTGTGTAAAATTTTTGTACTATAAAAAAATAGACATAAAACATGTATAGAGAAAATTTTATCAACATTAATTATATTAAGGATCGTGTTGCGTTCAAAAATATGGCTAATAATAAAATTATGAATAAACGATGTCTATAATATTGGACGTATTTAAAAAAAATGCCATAAAGGGTCTTAAAAGCAATACAAGCCAAAACAATTTTTTTTTATACAACCTAGAATAGAATAGAATAAAATAGAAAATCATTTATTCAAATAAACTTACATTGAAGCACTTTTGAATAGTCATTAAATTTTTTTTAATCTACCGCTCGTTCGGAAAGCTGTCTCATCACAAGAAGAACGAGCAAGAAACTTGCGTGTTGCTCTTTTAAATAATTTTATTATTACTTTACATTTCGTTATACATGCGCGTTCACCGCAAAAAAGACACCGTTTGTCGTATCTCCTCACTTTCAGGGCACTTCCCTTGATAATAAGTCGAGTCTGGGGATTCTTGGCGTCGATATATCTAGCGACGTCCAGTTTTGCGGTCATCTGGAGGAAAAAGCTAAGATAGCTTCCAAAAAGTTGGGGGTGCTCAATAGGGTGAGACGGTATTTCACGCCAGAAAACCGCCTTAAACTGTATAAAGCTCAAGTGAGGCCACACATGGAATACTGTTCTCACCTGTGGGCAGGAGCGCCACAGTACCAACTCCTTCCATTAGACCGCATTCAAAGTCGGGCAGCTCGAATTGTTGACGATCGGCGTCTTACTGTCCGGCTCGACCCACTGAAACTGCGTAGAGATGTTGCATCTCTGTGCATCTTCTACCGAATTTATCATGGGGAGTGCTCTGAAGAATTGTTCGGATTGATACCTGCTGCTGATTTTCACCATCGTACAACCCGCCATAAACTAAAATTTCATCCCAACCATCTGGACGAGTGGCGGTCCTCCACCGTGCGTTTTTCAAGGCACTTTCTTCCACGCACAACCACTCTTTGGAATCAACTTCCAGCAGCAGTATTTCCGAACCGATACGACAACATAACCTTCAAGAAAAGAGCATATTCCTTTTTAAAAGGCCGGCAGCACACCTGCAATGCCGTAGGTGTTGTGGGTGATTATGGGCGGCGGTAGTCACTTACCATCAGTTGAGCCGCATGCTCGTTTGCCCCCTGTGTTGTAAAAAAAAAAAAAAAAAAAACATTTTTAAGTTTAAGTGTGTGAATACAAACCGCCAATTAGCACTAATTCAATTAAATACTCAAAAAGAAAAAAATATTGAATACATAACCAACTGGTTAAACAATTAATAAGAGGAAATCAGTCATAGTGATTAGAGCAGACCAGTCCCTACAAGCAGCATCCGTTCACGAGTATGACGGATGAGCCAGCCATCACTGCGCTCGACCATATTTTAGGGAGCCCAATGACCCGGCCCACCACGCCGCCACAAGTCTGGACATTTTAGTGAGCATGACTACTCAAAACACTAGACCACGTCAAAGCTACTCACAATTGCCATCTGATAGTTATAGTATTCACATTTTACATAAGAATGCATGCGGCAATTAATACAAAAACCGCTACGCTTTCATATTTCTAAATGGCAAACAAGCTGACGGCCCACCTGATGGAAAGTGGTAACCGTCGCCTATAGACGATATGTCTCTACGTTTGTTCAAGTATCACGTAAAAAATTTTACACAAAATGGGGTTCGGTTTTCACTGTTGTATTTTTGACTGTCAAATTTAAAATGTATAGAATTCCACACAAAATCTCAGGCAGAAATAGAAATTAACATTTTTATAATAAACTGCCTTATAAATTCTTACTACTAGATTTAAGACTTTCAACAAATGGAGGATTAGGTGCACTAAAAGTGCACTCACTGCAGATTTTCAGATTCAGTAAGTGGGACAACAACGTCAGGAAGTCTTAAGACGAAATACCTACTTTTCTATAGCAAACAGCTTAATGTAAAATGATAAATCACTAATATGTCATTATATAATATTATATCTTGACTATAATCATAGTTAATCATTGTCTAGATGATTATAGTATGATTGAGTGATGATTTGATTTCATCATCATATTTTTACCGATTTTTATCATATAATTCTCATAATGCATGATTACAACACGATCCTTAACAATATGTACTCTTGCCAATTTGTAAATTTTAGTTAAAAATATTTGTAAAATGTGCAAGAATCATAGATATTAAAATGTATAGATAACGTAAATCGACTCAATCTGAGTGTCTGAATTAAGAACAGTTTCACTTAGAAAATTAAATCAATATTTTGTTTTTATATAAAAATGTTTACATTTTTGCTTTTATTGGAATTAGTCAATAATTGTGGTGATTAACGATTAAGAAAACATAATTATATGTTTTTATATGTTACATTGTTATCTCAGGCATTATCTGTCCACCTCCCTCTCATAGACTGCCATAAAGAACGGTCCTACGTCGTCTGGGGGATCGTCTGATACTGAATTTGCCTGTACAGGGTTGCCACTCAAGAACTTTTCTTCCCCATCGGTTCTAAATACTTCTAGCTATATGACCAGTCTATTGCCACTTCAGTTTACTTATCAAATTAGCATCATGTTTATATGATAAATATTTTTATTGTAGTTTCACTAACGTCTTAATTTATTGTTATAGAATGATATAATTCTAAAATAATGGACAATAACAAAAATGCTTCGGCACTTTAGTTTTCATAAAATCTGTTGTATGAGATTTAAGGCAGTCCTTTCATTTATTATGACGCTCTACCAATATTAATATTCATTTTTTATACCTTAATGGAACGTTTTATACCATTTTGCATCTTTATTTATTCATATTGTACTTATAATAAAAGAGTTATTATCACTTAATGTCCGTCTACCATTAACATGATAATGGCCTGATTTAATACAAGTTCATTGTTGTAGCTTTTATTCGCGGTTAACATTTTTACAGTTCGTTTGATTCCGTTTTTATTTTACTTATTCTGTAGTCATAAGTTACTCATATTATGTCAATGTTGCGTTGTCTAATCAATTTAATATCTATGACGAGGAATATAACAAGGAATATATGATATTGGGTCCTAATGCGTTATTTATTATACATTTATAAATAGATATTGTTTGTATCAAAAATAACATATATTGTATTTTTGTACGAAAATAAATAATCCTTTTCATAGAAGGCAATGCTTCAATAGCAGTTGGCGATGTAATTTTTCTTCGTATTACTTTTTTCTGAATGTTTTGCATGAAACAAACTACATACATTTAATTTACTATTACTGATATATTTCAAATGTATAGAACTAAGCTAATTTTGATTATTTTCTACTATCAATATCGTAATAGTGTTAATTATAGAAAAAGTGACATTCATTAGAATGAAAAAACAATGCAAAAATGCTCTTTGTATTTTTACGATTGTAAAGAAATGAAAACTGTATGAGATTGACAGGGTTTCAAATAGTCACGTAATCTACATGCGCAAATTTCTGTCAACCTCATACATTTTTTAATACAAACGTAATGGTTAATAGATTGTTACATTGTTTATTTTGTTTATATGCAAAATAAAAAATAAATTCAACAGTCTCGAGTTTTAAAATGAAACATTAAAATATGTTTCATACAAAAACTAATTTGATATATTTTATATATCTATATATCCTCTACAATAAAATTTAACAAATTTATTCTTCTAGTTATTGAACATTGAAACTTGCCTCATATGTTTGATAACTATAGACAAAGATAATTGTTTTACAATGTTTTTAAATTAACACAAAAGTAAAAATAATTACTTTGTATTTTCTTTTTTTTTTTTTTGGGAAAGGCAAAGGAATAAATCTATACAGAAGCAGATTTGTTTCTTTTGTTTTATAACTTTTTATTTTAATTTGAGATACTACGGTTACAATTTTTTTTTTACTATAACCTTAAAATGGCTGAGAATCATAATATTAGGTTTTTAATATTAAATTGGATAACCTAGTGTATGTTCTTTTTGCATTTTGTATTATGTTACAGACATTTTTAGTTTCATTATGTACTTATTTAGCGATCGATTTGTTAATTTAATTATTATGTTATTTTGGGTTGCAATCTTCATAATAGAGTAAAAGATAGTGTAATATGGAATTTTTTTTATAATAAAAAAAAACTCAACAAAGATTAAAACCTGAATTATGGCTGTATTGAAAAATATTAGAAAATAATTTAAACACGATCATTATTCTATTTAGAAGAAGTGCAACTAATTACTTCACTATTTTTATCCGCAAAACAAAAAACTAGCAGAAATTTTTCATCTGTGGACTGTTGTTAGTGTTTGTTTGTATTGAGATACAAAAACATATATTATTACTGGCAACACTAGAAAATGGCGCGCTTTGTTTTGTTTTGAAAAATGTTACCAACGCGTTTGCTAACGGATAATTTTCATTTGTTCCTAGCTAGGCCTAATTTTATTTATCTATTTGAACTTTAATGCATAAATGTTTAATACAAGTTTACGTTTAGTTCGTATTTGTGTGCAGGTTTTTATTTAGGTAGGTAAACTGTTTTTAAAAAATGTTTTTTTTTTAAACAGAGTGCGCCCTTTTTTTGTATATTTTGTACATCTTTATTTCAGTTGGAACTTTTTTTAAATTACATTTTATTACCGATAATGATAATCTGAAATAACAATAATTGTTAAATATTAAAACAATAATACTCACACGTGCTGCGATATTTCCTCGAGTTTTTTGTTTTGTGGTTTTAGCAAATAATTTGTTACTTACTTTGAAAGCATTTATGTAAATTATTTTCGAACTTGCCAGTATTTCGTTCTGATAACAATGCATGGGGTGTATAAACCCCACACTCTGTATGTAGGTATATGATTATCGCAGATAAGTTGTATTGGTTGTTTTCCTCACTTTATTATTAATTAATGTTCTTTTCGTTTCAATTTTTATAATAAAATGTCAAAAAATTGTGTGATCCCTTTTATTTTTTTATTCGGAACAGAACTGCTTAACTAATTTTTTAATCAAAAATTTAATAGTACAGGTACTTTTTTTTTTAATGGGTGATAATGGAATGGTAACCCCACCCGCGCTATTGGTATACACCGGCGGGGCACCAGTGAAGGATGATAGGTGAGGATGAATCAGGTCAGTTAGCCCATCGTGACGAATTCAACAAGAATGGTTCACGATGGTTTCCAGGGGCAACCACGTGGAGGTCGACCTGATAGAGCATATTGCTAGCAAATTCCATTACTAACAATCCCTTTCCCCCCAGTACAAGTACTAGGTAGTACCATGCTATTTAATTAGAGACGGTAATACGAGTATATAACAATATGTATATATTTTAAATACGGTATATGTATATTGGTCCAATAACGAATTTGTTAAAAATCTGTTACCCGAAAATAATATTGTATAACAGACTTTCAACATATTCCAAAATAGATGTCCGGCTGATATGGGCGATATTGAAATGGGTGATGACCTGTTTTCTGCCAATACACTCTGGAGGAACCCAATATATAGATATCGGATCGGTATCCATATTTATTAATAGGTGAAAATGGAATGGTAACCCCGCCCGCACTATACACTGACTGGTGCCCCAGTGAAAGATGATAGGTGAGAATGAATGCAGGTCAGTTGACCCATCATAATGAATGCGACAAAAATTAACCATGATAGTTTCCAGGGGGAACCGCCTGGAGATCGACCTGACAGGGTATATTATTATTGCTACAGCTTACAGCCCCATTGCTAGCAATAGCTAGCAATGGGGCTATTAGACCTCATTACTAACAATCCTAGGTATAGTACCCGTACCTACATCTGACATTTTACAAAGAACAATTTGATGGCCACTAGAGTAATAAAATCCTTCATCCTTGACTATGCTGATCCTGCTACATTGATCTCACCGAAGACCAACTTAATAAACTTGAGCGTCTCCAAAACCTGTGTATTAGATTTGTATTTGGCAAAACTAATTTTCGCACTCAGCTCAAGTTCCCATGTCGACGCCGAGATTGGCATATATTATCTCTTCTTTATTCCATTCTATTCGACCTCTTACACCTCACTATCTTAAAGAGCGATTTATATTTCTCGTCAAGTTCAGTTTCGCGTTAAATAGTCTCCGTTTAAAAACCCGTTAACTGTCACACCAAATCCTTTTCCGTTCAACAGTGCGCTCCCTATGGAACTCACTGCCACCGTCTATACAGAGTGCGCAATCCTTGGCTTCGCGGGACAAGTCAAATCACATTTTCTTTCACTGTAGTTACTTTTTCCATGGGTTGATAATTTTTGGACTAGATTTGTCATATTTCCTTGTGTGTGCTATGTATGTATTTATATGTGTATGTTTATGTATTTTGTATGTATGTTATATGTGTATATGTATGTATATATATATATATGTATGTGTATGTGTATGTATGTATGTATATATATTGTTATAGTAAGTAGTTTAATAAATTATATGTATTTGATATTTTTGTGCATTACATGTTTTTGTATTTTATGCACGAAAATTGTTGATTCACTCTTGCCCATCGCCCTTTTCTATCTGTTCTCCCTTAACTAAAGGTTGTCTGTAAGAGATTGTCCTATGATAAGGTTTTGTACCTTTATGTGTATATTTCAATCTGTATTTATGTTACTGTATTTCATTTGAATTATTCACTTGTCATTGTATATTTTTATTTATGGTGCAATAAAGAGTTAAATAAAAATAATAATAATAATAATAATAGTTGCCCGCTTGGAACGCGGGTTGGCAACTATAATTAGGTTTTTTTTAATGGGTGATAATGGAATGGTAACCCCACCCGCGCTATCGGTATACACCGGCGGGGAACCAGTGAAGGATGATAGATGAGGATGAAGGGTCAGTTAGCCCATCGTGACGAATTCAACAAGAATTGTTCACGATGGTTTCCAGGGGGAACCACGTTCAAAATATTTTAAAATTAATAATAGACTAACAATGGGACTGTCAAACTCCATTGCTAACAATCCCTTTCCCCCCACTTTAATTAGGTTTTGGAGATGTTTTAAGAAGGACGCTGCTGCCCATCCCTCGACCACTATGTTCCTTTAATCGCCTCTTACTACAGTCACGGGAAAGAAAGATATAGCGCATTCTATGTCGGTATTACATGGCGATTATATTTAAATAGTAAAATTGTTCTCTGAAAAACATTTAACGTTTTAGTTCGTACGCAAAGCACTTTTTAATTAATCAGTCAAAAATATTGAAATTTTTTTTTATTGTTTTAGAAAATTCACATATAAATGCGACCACACTTCGTTAAGCTAAAACTACGAACACTTAACCCTTCTTTGCATAATGGGGGAAATTTCCATCATAACATTAAATATCCAAAAATTATTTAAAAGAACAAGTTCACTTTAAGTTGATCGTGTCTGGATACCTTTTAATGTCCATTGCAGAAAAAAAAATATAACTGTCAAATTTAATTTTTTTAACCATTTCTCCTTTAATTTTGAACATGAATTATATCACCATTTATTTCACCAATAAAAAAAATCATGCAAAGAAGGGTTAAACAGAACTTCATTAGAAGATATAAACATTATTATTAAAATGGAAGTAGCAGGAATGCCTATTATCTAGTTAGCGAAGTCAAATGAAGCAAATTGAAACAAACGAAATAGTTTTCTCAACGAATCCAGTTTTATTTTTTACAGCGAACAATAATTACAATCGGCCATTAGTATTTCGATTTCAAAAAAAGAACAATCACATTCGAAACGCGAGAGGCGAGCGCGCAAAAACTAGAACCTAGAGCTGTCAAAGTTGATTAAAAAAACAATTATGCTTAACGATGATAATCGACCGTTTTGAGAAGACCTCCGTAAATTGCGGTGTTCAATACAATTAAGCGTGCAACACAATGCGATAGTCTTATTTTTATAGGTCATAATGTGTGAGTGGATTTTTTTAGTAATTCAATGACTCGGCATGAATTTTATACGATATTTTGATACGCGTTGTTATTGGCTAGGAACGGACCAATAAGCTTGGCTGATTGATAATTCACGCACCATGTTGACAGCTAGGAATCTGTGGAGTGGAGTAAAAATGCTTGCAATATTTCTTATAGGTACTACCTACGCTTATTTCCCGCGTACTGACTACGAAATAAGTGACGTGACAAGAATAATGACAAGATTAATTTTAATTAAGAAAGAATGGTTACCTCACGTGTGGCAGTTCATCTCTCGATTCAGTTTTAATTATAAATAACATCTTTCGAAGTATGAATGCAACCATAGTAATTTATGAACTCAAAAATAAAAAAGAAATGCAACGAAATTGAGAATATACTGCTTTTTGAAGTCGATTGGAAATATTTTCTAAAATAGTTTCTTGTTAAATAACTTCAAACTTCATAGAATGTTGTACCTAATGTTTAGTACTGGAGGAAGGGATTGTTAGTAATGCGAAATATCAGGCCTGCCTCCACCTGGTCTCCCCTGGAAACTATCGTGTTGAATTCCAGGTGTATTCATCATGATGGACTGACTGACCTGCCATTTCATTCACACCTATCACCTCTTACTGCCGTCAGCGTATACCATTAACGCAGATAGGGTTACCATTCTATTATCATCCATTAAAAAAATATTGTCATTTAATAACACCAATACTCTGTTATGTCCATAGTACTGTTCATGTCTATAGGCGACGGTTACCACTTTCCATCAGGTGGGCCGTCAGCTTGTTTGTCATTCTAAGTTGCATAAAAAATCGTTTAACAAAAAATTTAATACAACAACTATCGATTCCTGGGGGGAAAGGGATTGTTAGTAATGGAGACTGAGAATCCCATTGCTAGCAATATACTCAACCAGGTTGACCTCCTGGAAACTATCATGGTTAATTCCTGATGAATTCATCATGATGGCCAACTGGCCTGTTTTCATTCTCATCTATCACCCTTCACTGGTGCTCCGCTAGCATATCCCGTTAGCGCAGGCGGGGTTACCATACCATTTCCACCCATCACAAAAAAAAAACTATCGATTTATAATAAATCGACGCCACGCAATTTCTGTTCTCGTTTGATAAGCAACGTGCCACCTAATAAGGTGATCATTTATATTACATTCTACCATTACGTACTATATTCATAGAGCAGCTACGAACGTCAACTTGAGAACCTTAAAAGTAAGTATAAACTTACCCTATAATTCATAAAAAACGTCAAATTCCTTAAACCTATTTTAGGTACTGAACTGTTCTATCCTTTTCTTTTGTACTAAATTCCCAATTTGAATGAAAGTAACAAAATTGTGTCATCTATAACTTATAATAAATCTGTAGAGAGGTCAATTCTGTACATGAAATATATTTTTAAAATAACTATCAGCGGGTGATTAGTGATCGATACTGATGCCAAAAATGCAATCAGTAAAATTTTTGTCTGTCTGCCTGTCTGCAACGTATGTTCGTTATAGAAACAAAAATTACTCGACGGATTTTAACGAAACTTGGTACATATATTCTTCATACTCCTGGGCAAGTTATAGTATACTTTTCATCACGCTACGATCAATAGGAGCAGAGCAGTGAAAGCAAATGTTGGGAAAACGGGAGAAGTTACTCCATTTTTAAGCATCCGTCGCGTATACAGCCTTAATGGTCACTTTTTAAAATGTAAAAATGTCCACACAGGCCGCTAGTTATGAATAAAAGGGTTATTTTTCAACGAATTTAACGAAAAAGAACGTACTCAATTCGTTTGCGTTTTTTATGTTTTTTTTTTTTTTTAATTACTTCATAACTAAAAAAGCATTGCTACAAAAAACATCACTGACAGGAGTTAGCAGCGAACTTTAAAAATAAGGGCGAGTACAAAAATCATGGAATATTTATTTATTAAACACTTTATTGCACCAAATTTCATGAAGGATTTGTTAAAGAATTTTCACGAATCAT